CAGAGGCCCAAGGAGTAATTCCATAGGAAGGCACTCTAATGCTCAGGTCAGTGATGGAGAGGGAGGTAAGTCAAGATGAACCGAAGAGAGTAGGTTAGTTGGAACCAAGGTGAATACAATGGGTGCTGAAGTGAGTTGAGAGCCAAAAGTCCTTTACCTTAAGTGGGGGGCCTATTTATAGTCGGCCATCTGTTTTATAGTTGGATTAGGCTTTCGTGGTTATCGGGATGAGGTTACTCGCCGAGGTCTTTGGGGAGTTTCCCTTTCCTTGGTGTAGTTTGTTTCTTGATCCATATGAAACACTTCTCCTGAGTGTGCTCTTCCTGTAAATACATGTAGTTTACCATCACTAGGATTATGACGAAGATGCCGAAGGAAAACCATATAAAGGAATCTCGATCAAGATACCCCCGCAACAATACTCTATCGAAATGATGAAATGCTCATACACTTCCGATGAGCACACAAAGCCACTCAAGACATGCAATGGGCATGAAACGCCTTCTGGGATCTGCGATGAACAATGAAGCGTCACCCAAGGCTTGTGATGGACATAAAATAACATCGCCAATCTAAGACAAACCCGATACACAGCTAACACCTTATAATGGATATAAAATGACATCCATGACTGTAATGAAGGGTGGATAGACCCCGAAGGTCGGCGACACTTGCCTATGGAAGATCAACATTCCTTCTAGTCATAATGAGCTATAAAAAAGGCATTTTTAGGATAACTAATGAAACACTCAAACACATTAGTCGGATCAGGATCTTATCATCCACAGGGGAACCCATAAAGGGATTATAGCCTACATGTGCTACGTGAGAATCCATAGGAGATAAGAAACCTTGCCCTTGAAGGATCTTACTAGACACGTGCCCAGTGGTGTTCCCTTAATAATTGACGTAAAGATAAAAGACCCCTTTTCCTAATAGAAAAGGTCTCCTTTTAGATCCTTCTCCTACACGTGCCCAGTGGTGTTCCCTTAATAATTGACGTAAAGATAAAAGACCCCTTTTCCTAATAGAAAA